AATTTGAATAAATATGAATTATTATGTAGTATTTATTTGAGTAGGGTCAAAACAGTAGAATTGGTTCCTAATAAAATATACTTTCAATTTGTTGTTTAAAGTGGCAATAATTTATTATTTATTGAAGTATAATGTTGTTTTTTTTTTTTGCTTTTGGTGTTCTGTTATAAGTTTTTTTCTGGAAAAATAATATAAAAATTCAGGGGCCAAATCAGTCATCAAAAATAATAACAGTAAACGTTATAATGAAAAAGCTGTAAAAATATAATTTTATAGAGTACAATTCTGCATATTATGCATATTGTCTATTGCTTAATTGTTTAATTTAAGCTTTATTTTAAAAAATGGATCTGTGAAGGACAAACTACAACAATGGTAACCAAACAAAAGTCACAGTCCAATATTTGTTGTTGTATAAACTCATGGTCCTTAATCATGTTGAATAATCCCACGATTTCTTTCGATAATGCATGCTTTTTGCAAATCCTATATGCAAAAGTATTTGGTTCAAAAGTTTTTGTAAAAACTTATAATGCATCCAATGCATTGAACGCATTTCATCTACAACCAGCAAGTTTGTGAAATAGATTATATAAGCATGTTATATACAATAAAATATTAGATATGATAGGAATTTCATTTGTCAGAGGCATTTTAGCAAACACATAGAGTGCGAGATATGAACAATTTAGCAAACATAAAAAATTAACCATGTGATTGAAGCATTCAATCAACATATAATGTAAGATTAGTTTTTGTATATTATCAGACGATGGTATGTATATGATGAAGGAAATAAAATACATACTGTATGCAGACTGAGTTGAAGAAGAATAACTATGGTAGCCTGATGCGAAATTGCGACAATATGATACATGATAGCAAACGTATTTATACATAGTTTTGATTATAGAATCCATTAGGTTTCCTAAAATATTGAGATATTACGCTATGAATTTAAAAATCAAATCATTTATCGTAGCCTATAATTTCAGGAAAACATCAATTCCCTGTAAATTTTTTGATGAGTTTTAGGGGATTTAAAATTGACTTCCAATTGTATAGTTATACAGGCAAATTGTCGGTAAAATAAGAAAATTTTGTATCAAATTATGGTGACGAGATAAACTATACAGGAATGTTAGCATGACAAACCTGTTTTGGTAGGGAAAATGAAAAATAGTGTGACTTTGAAAATGTAATGGTTGTCCTTATTTTATTCATTTTTTTTTGTATTAAAAATGACATTAGTTGACATTATTTTGTCAATTATTTCATAAAGTACAATTTGTCTAAGTTTATTAATTTGACATTGCTAAATTGAAAACAAATAGTAATACATATATTTTAAAATATATATTTTTATTTCTATTTTTAATGTAAATGACCATTTTGACCTTTATATCCAATTTAGTTAGATTTTACATGTATATTAATAATTTATGGCATACCCCAAAAAAAAAAAACAATACACTAATATGAAACTCTTAAAACGTAAATCAAATTTATTTGTTAAAAGTTGTTACTTTTGACCATTTTAAAGGGTAATAATCATTTTTCCAATCATACAATAAATAACATTCTACTTGAATATTATTTTCTTATTTTTTTTAAAGTACAATTACTAAAAAATTTATAACTAAATGATTAATGATTACACACTCATATTTATTTTAGCATGATATAGTGATATAAAGCTGAAATTTAGAAATAAATATAAACAAAATAATGATTAATTCAATAATTGAACCTATACTAATAAAAAAGAGTATTGCAATATTTTTAAAAATTACTCGTAAATTTCCAAATACTTCTTTGAATACAACATTAGGCGTTTTATTGCTAAGGTTACCATCACTGTCTAAAATTAATATTTTTAATCCATCTTTGCTTTTAACTATCGACAACGCAACATACAACTATCCATGAGTGAGCACTGGTTGTCTAAAAAATAAACCTAGTTTCGATAGCGATTATCCTTAACTCTTGTTTATTGTCATTGCAAAACATACAACCAATGGAAATTGTCTTCTTTAAATGTGAAAGGAATTCTAATTTCTGAAGGAGGTAAGGACATTATTGGAATAAAAGTACGGTTTCCTATATTACTTTCGGAAATTATCTCTGCTTCTATAACACGGTTACCCAATGTTCACTACAAGAAAAACAGTCTTTTACGACGCACAATGCGTGTCGTAAAAGGCTGAGACGATGCGAAAATGCGTGTCAAGAAAGGCCCTGTCATAACGAGAGATGACGCGCTTTTGCACGTCGTTTGTTTACGACGCGCATTTACGACGCGCATTTACGACACGCATTTATGACGCGCATTTACGACACGCATTGTGTATCAAGGAAGGCCGTGTCATAAAGGAAGATGACACTCATTTGCGTGTCGTTACCTTACGAAGCGCATTTACGACTCGTATTGCGTATCATTAAAGCCCCTGTCAAGAAAGGCCATGTCATAAATGAAGATGACACACATTTTTGCGTATCATAATTTTAAATGATTAAAAAAAATATTATTTATAGATTTACTAATTTTCAAATTAAATTTGTATTTAATGTCTCATAATAGAAAATAAAATGGCATATACAAAAAATACAATCCATTTCATAAAATTTAATGTCATACAAATAATCATTCCATGGAAAGATAAAACAAATCAGTAGAAGTTGTAACAAAAATTTACAAAGTAATTAGATACAAGAAATATAAAAAAATATATCCTCAAATGCTTTTAAAAGTCTAATCTCCATGTAAGATCTTCAACTCGCTTCTCCAGTTTTTCCTTAGCTTCTCTAAGGGCTCCAGCATCTCTTGTTTCACATATCATGTCAAAAAATTCTTTGTTTCATTGGTTTTGCCACCGGGTGTACCATGTAAAACTGTTGAACTCGGTGTAATGGGCGACTGTCCACCGGGCATGGATGGCAAGTAAGGGCTTGAAGCATTACCTTAAACAAAAAAAAAATTATTAATCACACAATCACATAATGAGTTTTAATCTAGGCATCTTTATGTTACCAAAGGTGAAAACCATATACGATGGAGGATGATTCTCTTTAATCACTAATCTTAAAGGAATCATTCATATTTGTTACACGGACTATTTTCAATTATGAGGATAAGAAGGACATTTACGCCTTTTGTATAGACGATAGATCAACTATTCACATTGTTCACTGACAATACTATCCTTATCCCTCGGTAACCTTCTCATCATGTTTAAAAAATTGATTATTACGATTTGAGTTCATAGAAAAATCTCCTATTCTGTTAGTATTAAACCTTATTATTATAAACATCAAGATGTTATTTTTGTCTGAGTTTGTTTCTATTCTAGATTAAATAAACCATCTTAATGAAATGAAATGACCATTTTACCCTTTCCAAAGAAGAGTTGGGAGGAAAGAAAAAAAAGAAGGGAAAACAGGCATAGAATTAGTGTTTTAATACATTAAGCCTGAATTTTTGGCTTAACCCATCAAGTCATTCTATGTAGAATAAATCAAGATTAAGTTCTTAAGCCATTAAGTAAAAAAAACAACCCCTTAATCTAATAATATATATAGTATGTATATGGATGTTTCTTTTTCACTTCATGCAAAAAGAACAACTTAATATAAAATTTTAAAAACGAGGCTTTCTCAATTAACCGAAGTAGAGTACTCTTTTCCCAAATACTTTACAACAAACATCCTTAATATGAGGAAATTATGAAACAAAGAAAAATGCATCACCTGATTTTTCTCAAAGTCGTTTGGAAGCACGTTGTGTTCACTAAGAATACTTCACCACTGTTGGGCTTTTGTAAACCCATAGTTAGCTTAAGTAGAGTGCTCTTTCCACAACCTTTTGGATCAATTATGGCAGCTTTATCACCCCTTTCGATAGATATGTTATCTTTTTTTAACAGAACCTACAAAAAAACAAACCAGAGCATATCCTTACATATTTAATTATCACAAAGAAAATAAAAAAGTTCAACCTTATTATTAATAAATTACCTTGTCTTCATAGCTAAATTGTAGATTCTTTCTTATCACAATAGATCTTCCACTTCTTCCACGTTGTGGAGATCTGATCTTTATTTATTTTCGGATGAATGGCTCGTCAACTTGTTCTTCCTCATGAAGCTTCTCTAGTTTCTGAAAAAAAAATCAAATAATATAACATTTAGTACTTGGTATTTCAAATAATATGTTGTATATAACTGGTTTCTTATATCTCTTATGTAAAGGTGTGGTCAACGTCTTCCCAGAGTCTTGGTCCTTGCACCTACCAGGGAGTTAACAAGGCAAGTAGAATCAGAGATCAAAGTGTCTGCTCCATATTTGAGCATTGTTTTTGTCTATGGTGGTGTGTCATATAATTCACAGAAAATTGCATTGTCTCGTGGAGTTGATGTGATGTTGGAACACCAGGAAGACTTATTGACCTTATTGACAGTAACACCCTAAATTTGGTGGAGGTTCTTGATGAATCTGATCAAATGTTTGCTATTGGTTTTGAGGAAAATGTAGAGTATATATTGGAAAAGCTTCCATCACAGAGGCAAAGCATGCTTTTTTCAGCAAGAATACCTGGTTGGGTCAAGAAACTCTCAAGGAAATATGTCAACAATGTAATGTTTGTTAAGCAGAAAAAAACAGAAAACATACATTTTTCTATAATAAAAAAAAACAAATCATAACTATCTAACCTCTCACAAAGTGAATTCCACTTCTGCCCCTGTAATAAAATTCAAAAGATTGGAGATCATCATTAAATTAAGTAATCATGAATTCATATATGGGTAATTTAGTAGCAGTGGAAGAATTAAGATGAAACGGAAAACATACCTATCAAGTGTTCCAATGTCTAATAATCAAACAAAACCATCAACAAAGCTATTTGAATATTGACCTCTATGAACTTGAGAAGCAACCTAAAAGAGACAATACATACATATTCATACAAAAAAATATTAGAAAGAATATCAAATAATTAAAAAATGGGGCTAATGAGCCGAATTGGTTTAGTCACTCAAGAGCCTGCATTACTAAGCTTAAGCATCAGGGACAATATCGCCTATGGGAGAGATGTCACATCACTTCAAGTTGAAGATGCAACTAAAACAGCTCATGCACATACATTCATCAGCTCACTTGAAAAAGGATACGATACACAGGTAACTAAAAACCAAAAGAGTATATGAAATTACAGTTTTACCCTTTTAACCTAATGAGAAAACATGTGTTGCTTTCAGGTAGGTAGGGCTGGTTTATCTTTAGCAGAAGAACAGAAGATAAGACTTTCGGTTGCAAGGGTAGTGCTTTCGAATCCTTGTATTCTTCTTCTTGATGAGGTGACAGGTGGACTTGATTTTGAAGCTGAAAGATCTGTTCAAGAGGCTTTGGATTTATTAATGGTGGGTCGTTCAACCATTATAATTGGTAGAAGGCTTTCGTCAATTAAAAATGCTGATTTTTATAGCTGTTATGGAGGAAGGTCAGTTAATGGAGATTGGGACACATGATGAACTTATAACTTCAGATGGGTTGTATGCAGAGCTTTTAAGATGTGAAGAAGCAGCTAATTAAACTACCAAAAAGATAAATCCAGATGCTCTTAAACTCTTATATTAGAGCAAGTAAATTACAAAGTTATAGCTTACTTCTTATGAGTAATTTTACTTTATGAAAAAACAATTAATGAGTTTATTTGATATCATTTTAGGATGCCTGCAAGAACCCCCAATGAAACCTCAACATTCCAAATCGAAAAAGATTCCACCTTACAAGAATCATCATCTCCCAAATTTACCAAATCGCCCTCACTTCAGCAAGCCTCCAACCTACACACAGCAAGATCTCCAGATTCCAATTACAACTCATACGGATCTCAAAAAAAAATAAAAAACAGTTGAAAATGGAACAGAAAAAATAATAGCTAGTGAAGTGAATAAAAGAACGGGCTCAAATTTAAATAACAAATTGGGATATGAGTATCATAACTCTTAAGTTCAAAATAGTGAAACGATTAGATTAGATCATATTTACTATTTCAGTGGGAATAGAAAGTATGTAACCTTTTAGATCCCAATATATGACAGACACAAAATAAGAAGAATATGGGTGAGCACCTGCTTCCCAAGCTCTTTAACCCTCATCTCTGCATCCTGACAACTTTCTTCAGCAAACCTGAGCTGCACAATATAAACTCTACAATGAAGACCAGCTATATATATATATATATATATATATATATATATATATATATATATATATATATATATATATATATAAACAAAGAATACCATAATTAGAACCCAGCTTCTCAAGGACATTGTCATTCTCTTCTTGTAGCATATCAAGTTGCATGAAATAGCACAAGTTAACGAATTGTACATCACTTAAGCTAAAATTGAAATTGAAGGGAACAAGAAAAGTAAAAATTTCCCAGATGGTGGCAAATGAAGCGCTGAGGAGAAAAGGGGGCATTCAAGGAGTCACAGATGAAAACAAGATGAAAGATGGAAACCTAGAAGAAATTGAGAAATTGTTTGATGTTTTGAGAGAGAGAGAGAGAGAGAGAGAGAGAGTGAGAGAGAGAGAGAGAGGGAAATGGAGAAATTGATCTCGAACCAGATGTATGAAAGAAAACCCTAGTCGATTTGAATGTATCTACAAATCTCCGGTGATTCACGTTCAACCCCAATGCCTCTAAGAATAATCTGAAAAGTACGTCTCCAAATTTCATGACTTGATTTGAGTACTAGATTTGAATGTCTCTGCAAACCTCCGGTAATTCCTCAGGCGGCGGAGGTAACAGAGCCATAAATGAAAAAGAAGATGTCTCTCCAGTTCAAGGCGGGGGAGCTATACAGATCGTAATTGCTAATATACACTAATGTACTCGAAAGATCCCTCGTGTAAAACCCTTTCTTCACCTCGTCATCTTGTTCGTGGAATCTACGAACTCCTTGAACCGCCTCATCCATAACACTCACAGGAATCCCATGATTCGCTGCCTGAAAAATACCTAGGTTCGCGGAGGCTTCACGAATCATCTCCATCATTGATGCTATATGGGTCGATTGAAGGTCTATGACCGGAATCTTGACAGCAAGTGGTGTACTGTGGGTGAAAGAAGATAGGAGGGATTTTCAGGATTCCGGCATCGACGAGGCCTTTGACGCCGGTTTTTGTTTGGTCGAAAGCTTTGAGCTCCGTATGTCGATCGTAGCTTGAGCCGACTAAAGTAATGGTGGCAGCCACTTTCGTGAAGATGATCGTGCTATATATGTGAAGGTATTCTCTAGAAATGTGAGTGAGGATCCTTGCAATTGTGGCCTTATGAATGTAAATTGTTTGATTTCCTGTGAGAAATGAAGCGATAGAGATCAATCTATGGAGTACGTGGGTCGTTCTTTGAGGGATGAAAAAACCCTAGTTTCTTAGACTTTTTGAGGACGTGGTTTTCTAATTTTTAGATTCCCGCGAGGTATTAAGGAGGGAACACGATGTTTAATGAGATCGATAAGGAGGTCAGGAGTGGAGGAGAAGCGGATCGGAGATGAGAGAGAAGGAGGGAGAGGGGAGAAGATTAAAGATAGAAAGAAGGTAGAAGACGGGTTTTCAAAATTTTGGGGATTTCGTTTCCCCCTCTACTGAACGCGCGTTTTCATTAAAATTATAAAGCTACAAGTATAGAGGACGTGCCTTTAAAATAATGTGCCGTCCGTGTTTCTAATTTCTTTTCATGAGACACTAATTTAAGAGCACACAATAATGCGTGACGTAAATCATTAAACTTTTTAAAGAGATGACACTTTTTTAATGTCACTCTCTTTTGCGTAACATAAATAAATGAGTGTCATGGTTTGCTCGTCGTAAAAGGGTCTTTTTCTTGTACTGGTTATAACACGTAGTCTCGTTCCATTACACAACCCACTTTTCCAATCAATATTCCTTCGTAACATAACCATAACATTGACTTTTAATACCAACTTATGGATCGGCAAACTTGTCGGTTTAAGACCATTTAGAACATCCGGCGAATACAAACTTTCATCAAAGTCATTATGATCAAAAATCTAAATGACAAAGACTGTCTGAACTCAAGTATTCTTTTTCATCACCTTGAAATAGTGATAACAGACGATCATTTATTTCTTGAACAACTTCGTTTTTCGGTGCAAGGATTCCTCTTTCTTGAAAAAACATGGGTCACCTCCGGGCTTCTTCGCACCTGGATAGTACTAGGACCCTTGTGCCCCGGCCCTTGATCAGATAAAGCTGCCCGCCCTATGACCCACAACTCAAAATGAGCCTTGCGACGAGACGCGGACATTCCCCATGCTGCGGTTAATCCTTGCCATTGCTACTGTCTTTGAAAGTCTAGCTATCCTCTCCTTGTCATGCTTAGTTATTCTGCATTGCTCCTTCTTCTGATCTTGCTTTCTTGCCTTATAGAACTGACCTTTGTCCCCTCCTTCCGGTTTTCACTCACTTAAAGTCCATTCCTTGCTCTTGCCTAGTTCTAGGCTTAGACGAAAGAGTGCCAACCAATAAAGCAAGCACCTTCATGGACTGAGACCGTGGAAGCTCCGTTAGCACCTTAAGGCTGTCTTTATCCTGAGAACCCTCGGGAATATTCAGAGACTCGGCTAATGCTTCTAGGCCCACATTCGGAAAACTATCTATAAAAATAATTAGATAGAATACCTTCAACCTTGTCAACTGATAGTGAAAGAACAAAATCCGGATACATACCAATACCTATTACAGGTAGAAAAATGGAGATCGAAACAAATAACTCGCGCGGTCCAGAATCAAAAACATAAGCGTTTGGAGTATTAAATAACTTATATCCATAGAACATCTGGCGTAACATAGATAATGAATAAATAGGAGTTAATATCATTCCAATTGCCATTACAAAAGTGATGGCAATTTTAGGCATTAAAAGATATTTTTGGCTGGTAATTATTCCTAAAAAGACTATCACTTCTGCAACAAAACCACTCATACCCGGTAATGCAAGCGAAGCCATGGAAAAACTACTGAACATCGTAAATATTTTTGGCATGGGGATAGCTACTCCGCCCATTTGGTCGAGATAAACAAGACGTATTCTATCATAACTCGTTCCTGCCAAGAAAAAAGTGCAGCACCAATAAACCCATGAGAGATTATTTGTAAAATAGCTCCATTGAGTCCCGTATCGGTTATAGAAGCAATTCCTATAAGTATGAAACCCATATGAGATACGGAGGAATAGGCTATTCTTTTTTTTTAAATTGCGTTGGCCGGGAGATGTTGAAGCTGCATAGATTATTTGTATTGTACCTACTATCATCAACCAAGGAGAAAATATAGAATGAGCGTGTGGTAATAATTCCATATTAATCCGAATCAATCCATACGCTCCCATTTTTAATAAAATTCCGGCTAGAAGCATACAAGTACTGTAATGTGCCTCTCCGTGGGTATCTGGTAACCATGTATGTAGGGGTAGAATCGGTAATTTGACAGCAAAAGCAATAAAAAATCCAATATAGAATATTATTTCCAAAGCCACAGGATACGATTGATTCACTGATGTTTCAAAATTTAATGTTGGTTCATTAGAACCATATAAACCGACACCCAGAACTCCCATTAAGAGAAAAATGGAACCTCCCGCCGTGTACAAAATAAATTTTGTGGCTGAGTAGAGACGTTGATTTTTTTACTCTTTAAGTGCGCCACTCCTTCTTTTGTCCTGTATCTGTAGCTGCTTTTCCCGCACTCTCTTTTATCCCGCCGAAGGTCCCCCTTACGTAATAGGGGTTAAGTTAAGGGGGGTGCACACCGTGGTCAAATCTGCATGAAAAACCGCGGGGAATCCTTAGTATTAAGTATTATGCTCCCGCACCCCCTATCTCTTAAAGGCTCTGCGCTCCCGCATTCGATGCTTGACATTTTCAATAATAGAACGATAGACAAATGCAATTAATAAACCGATTGGATCATATGAATCAGTAATGAGAAGATCATATGGTATATCAATAATTGCCTCACCATCAGTGAAACCACCAACATTTCCTTTTCCTATATCCAAAAGCAAGTTTGTAAAGGTCTTTGTTTCTTAATATCATTTGTTCGATCACTCGACCTCATGTCTTGTCTGCTTCCGTTTGGAACAATAGGTAGAATCTGCCTAAAATTGCCTCCAAAAACAATTGATTTTCCTCCAAATGGCAATTTTGAGTTGCTATGAAGATCACAACTCAATATGTCCTTCAAAGATCGATCCAATGCTTTAAATGCATGTTTATGAATCATTGGTGCCTCCTCCCATATAATTAATGATTTTCTTCTTAACAAATCGGCAACATCACTATCCGATGCGAAAGAACAAAAAGAATCCTCAATAAGATTTATGTCATTCTACATCGTGCAAGTAATAACGAAGCAATACTAGTTGAAGCAAAATTTAAAACGATTTCACCTTCGGATCTTACGGCTGCAGATAATGTCTTCCAAAGAAAAGTTTTCCCAGTACCACCATACGCATATACAAAAAAGACGCCTCCTTTTTTTTGTTGAACTTGTTTCATGATATCATCAAAAGCACCTCTTTTTTCAATTGTTAATGAATCCATCAGCTAAATCAACTCGTTTTGTAGAACGGTCCTGTTAAAATCTAGCTCCTCGGTTATCAAAAGATCGTTTGAAGAATATATAGATTCATGATCAGGGTATGGCATCCTATAATAATCTGTAAGGCTTGAGTTGTTCGGGATTAAAACTTTTTTAATCTCATAAAGGGTCAAGTTCTTAAGTTGATCCACATTAAGCAATAAACTTGTATAAATTGAAAGTTAATTATTTATAAAGAAATATACACGATCATATGTACAAAGAAATAATGTTTTCAAAATTAATATGTTATCATATTACAAAAAAATGTAATTATGAATAAAAAAACTTACTAAAAATAAGTATATTATTAATACATATATTTAAATGTTGAAAAATATCATAATACCTGCAGACTTTAATCGCATATGTTGATTGTATAGAATTCCATCCGATAAATATTTCCATGTATTTTCCCAAACACAGGACGATTTAGACAAACTATTCGACTTTAGCATAATTGCAAATAGAGATCGTAAATAGTAACCAGACCCTAATGATTCGCTTCCTCTATGGAATCAATATATTCTCTATCATCTTCTAAAAGTCCAAGAGCATAAAATGTCTCTCTAAAAGTAGGATATTCGTGTCCATTTACCGTACGGATATCTTCAAATGATTTCGGACCTTTGACTTTATTTAAAAGAATTCTTAAAAAATATGTTTCACCGAGATTAGGTGAAACTTCATGAATTCTACCGATCGATTTTCCTATTTTTCTTGTTCTCCAGCAACGATCTTTCAATTTCCATACAAATTTCATAGGAAATTCAACATATGAAAGTTTTTGTGCTTCTTTATTATGTTCGTTACATGTCATCCAAGCTAAGAACATTGAAGAAGCAACATATTGTTTGTCGAGGACATCATCGATATCGTCGTCTGCACCATACACAACATTTTGTTGTCCAGGAAGATGGAAAGGAAGTTTTATAACAGAATGATACCTATAAATAATTATTATTTAATCAAGAAAAATAATTAATATTTACAATTTATCTTTTTTCTAAATCAAAATGTGTTTAGTGCTAATACATGCAATGGACATCAAATCCAAATATATGCCATGAGGCTTCACATGCAGACAAATATCTACAATCGTAGTATTTCGTTATTTCATCAACTGCATCTTCAGTATCTTCTGCGTTGTTGCTTTGGAAAACTGTCATGGTAGCCTTATTAGTACCCTTGTTAATATATTTGAACAAATATTTGATGGAAGCAGCCTGATTGCACCATTCAACATTAATATGAGTTTGATGTCTTTTCAAAAGGACTTTATGATATGGAAGTATGGAACAACATTTATGTTGTCTAATTTCACACCCGACTTTTCAACAAATGAACCATCATTACGTCTCCTAAATAGGATAACCATTTAAATCAATAGAAGTACGATTTAAGAATGGCTTCGGGAAGTTTTTTGAACACTTGTTATCAATCATGCATGGCCATTTAGGATTATCACCACCACAAGGAACATGCATCAAGCCATCATACGCAGGTATTTACACAATTAAATCTAATGATTCATCACATTCCATTTCTTGGGTACTTGCTACAGGATGTGGTTTTCATATTTGATCTGATTTGCAAGGCCTAAGCAGAGATGGGGATGTGGAGCATGGGAAGATAAATTTGATCATGAGGAACGTAAGATCGTCTCCTATCACGAAGATCGGAATTTACTCTTTAATGCTCAGTAGTGGATTAGGATTATATTTAGACAATTGTGGCTATTCGCCAGATATGGCTAGAAACATCATTTCATTTCATGGTTTATATCGACAAGGTTTTAGATATTCATTTGATAATGAAAAGCGTTCTATTAATGCTTATCTTAATGGTGTATTTTATTTTGAAGCATTGCCTTGTAATGGAATATATGAAACTATGATGGTTATAGATAACTTAGGAAATGATGTGTTGTGTATTGATTCATCCAACGGTTTGGATAAAGCATGCTTATGGCATTGTCGTCTTGGACGTGTCAACAAGAAACACATAGCCCAACTCCAAAAGAATGGCGTATTGGAGTCATTTGACCTCAGGGACGATGACGTGTGCGAGTATTGTTTGCTTGGAAATATAATCAAGTCACCCTTCACTGGTACTTGTAAAAGGGGTAAGGGTCTATTGGATCTCATACACACCGATGTGTGTAGGCACTTCAGATCAACCATAAGAGATCCAAGCCACTTCTACGTGAATTTTACTGATGATTATAGTAGATATGGGTATATCTACTTAATCAAGCACAAGTCAGAAACCTTTGAAAAGTTCAAAGAGTTTAAACAAGAAGTGCAGAATCAGTTGGGCTAGGAAAATCAAGATGATTTGATCCAATCGAGGAGGAGAGTACCTAAGTCTTGAATTCCACGACTATCTTAAGGAATGCAGAATCGTTTCGAAATCGACGCCACGTAAGATACCATAATTAAACGGTGTGGCTAAGATGTGTAATCGAACCTTGTTGGAAATGGTTCGTTCCATGATGAGTCGTGCTTCACTACCTATCTCATTCTGGGGGTATGCCTTAGAGAGTGCCGCCCATTTTCTTAATTTAGTCCCTACGAAGAAGGTTTCCAAAACACCTCACGAGATATGGACAATGAAAGCTCCCTCATTGGTACATATCAAGGTTTGGGGTTGCGAGGCTTTCATAAG